TATTTATCATTTAATAAAACTATATATACATTTAATAAAACTATTTATCATTTAATAAAACCATATATACATTTAATAAAACTATTTATCATTTAATAAAACTATTTATCATTTAATAAAACCATATATACATTTAATAAAACTATATCATTTAATAAAACTATTTATCATTTAATAAAACCATATATACATTTAATAAAACTATTTATCATTTAATAAAACTATATATCATTTAATAAAACTATATCATTTAATAAAACTATATCATTTAATAAAACTATTATCATTTAATAAAACTATATCATTTAATAAAACTATCTATACATTTAATAACACTAACTATCAACGTTTACATAAAACTTTACAATGATGCCATCGCATAGGCTTTAAGTCCATCATTGTAGCTGCTTGTTTATATATTGAGTCCGCAGGCTTCAATGTAGTTAAAGAGGCTTGTGACCAAGATGTGATGCAATTCGTCAAGTGAGAGAATGTCATTGTGTGAATGTTTTGCAGTTCGATATGTTAAAAACCTTCTAATAAAACGAAAACAGTTTAGCCTTGGGTTACCTTTCTTACTCATATTTTTAACACGACGATTAAATTTTAAATGAATGTCGAGAGTTATGCCAAGATACTTAAATCCATTCACTCCTTTAATAACTTTAATAATGTATACTGTTTATTTATTCTTTTGTAAATAATAATAATAAAACCTATTACTGACCATTTAACTGTGTATTTAACATGAAACAGCTCCAAATTAGCATATTTAGTAATTTGGGGATTGTGTAAATGGGGGGTGCTCAGGGGAATCCCTTATTATGGTGGGCATATCCCTTATCTTCACATCCCAGTGTTAACAGGTATGGTCTGTGCATGTGTGTGTGTGTATCAGGAAGCTGCTCTTCTGCTCAGAGGAGAGCCCGTCAGCTAAAGGTGTGTAATCACAGCTCTTAGTTTGATTAATCTAAACTCCAGCTCCAGCTCGGCCAATCGGAGACCAGCGTGGACACGTCAGCGGCTGCAGAAGGAGCCGCAGAAACAGCTAGTCATGCTAATCGATAGCGAAGTGAAAACAGAGTCTGGAGCCGTAAAGAGAAAGAGCTGAGCTGGACAGAGCGAGAGAAAGCAGAAACGTCTCGATGACCCTCCATTAGCACAGTAAATAATCCAGTTAACATCTGCTCAAACAGCGGGAGGAAGAGAGGGAAAACGCAGCGTCACCGCGCAAACTGAGATAGAAAAGCGAGCTGTTATGCGGATATCACTTTAATAAGGGGTTTAAACACAGCTGTGTGTTAGTAGTGTGTGAATATATCCAGCAGTCTAATGGTCAAAGTTTATTAATTGTATTTGTTATAATCAGACTTGATGAAAACAGTCTGCAGAAACACTTTGATTAACCAAAAAAATCCCTTTGATTGGTTTTGATTGACCAAAACACACCCATAACTCATTAAGAGAATGAAGGCAAATCTTTTAGACCATGTGCCGGGCACAACGACTGGTTTTCCTGTCCTTAAAATAGCAAAAGTGGATGCTTCCACGTGATTTTGTGCCATCCATTTCAGACGTTGCCCCTAGATTGCTAAAATACAGAGCCTATTGTTTACAATGTTGATTAATAAGAAGCCATTTCTTAAAATTATACTCAAATGATTCTTTAACACAGGCCCGGATTGGCTAATCGGGAGCACCGGGAGAGTTCCCAGCGGGCCGGTCTGTTTTTTGGCCGTGAGGGCCGGTGTTTCTAGCCGCTTGCACTCTCAGCAGTCGCACTTTTTTCATCTATTTATTTATTTGACCATAGCTTCACTCTTTTTATGCATTATTTTGCCGCAGGGCCTCTCTTCTTATTTATTTTCTCGCAGCCCCGTGAGCAAAATGCAGCCTGCAGGGTAACTAACGTTAATGAAGCTGTAACGTTAACTATCATCATTCGACCCCAAACAGCGAATTTGAATAATTAATATTAATGAATAATACAACTGCTCAATGAAACTCAGATGATTCACTACATTAATAAATCTGACTTAAATTGATCAGAAATCTAAAAAGGGGAGAAAAAGATTAAGCCATCAATAGAAAGTAATACCGTGTCTTGCTGATCACAGTGCAATACTTATTTTTTATTCTCGCTGTAATAGCGCTATTGTGGACCAATCTTAAACACGTTGGGCACTATTTTGACGGTCCATGCGCGGAGCGCAAAGCGCAGGGTGCAAACGCTTTCAGGGCGTGTCAGAATGCATTTTTGCTAATTTAAGGACGGGACAATCCGCTTTGCGTCGTGGTGCATGGTCTAAAAGGGTTGAGTTTATTTTCTTAATGAGTTATAGGTGTGTTTTGAGAATAAACCAATCAGAGTCTCATCTCCCATTCCCTTTAAGAGCAGCTGCGTCGCGCCATAAGCGCATTCGCTATTTACAGGACGCAAAGTAAGTCTAAGTGGAAAAACTGAGCATTTCACAAGCAAACAGTTCACAGTTTATTACCAGAAAACTGTTAAACAGAGCATCTACTGCGTGAGAATGAGAGATAATGGATCACTTTCACTTTCGCTCTTGGATAGGGAAACCTTTACACACAGACATCAATTAGTCTATAAATAAATACTTTTGTTTGTTAAGCGCAAATATTCGTTTCAAAACTATTTCTAAATTCAGTTCTAATTTCCAGCAAACGAATAAATGAACAATAATAATGAAGTGTGCTCAAAAACCTGAGTTATATCCTAAAACACATGCTGAGCCCCATATGGTCTAAAACCTGACAGGTGGACAAATCTAAGCTTGTTTTTAATAAAACAAATATAAATATGGATATAATAAATAACACTGCTAATAATAATAACATTATACAGAAGCAAATTGTTATGAATGAACTGAAAAAGCCTCCCGAGATGAAGAAGACATAAAAGCAGTGATTTTTCATATTTATGTGGGCTAGAAAATAATATGTTTTGTAATATTTTAATCCTTTATATTTATATCCTATATCTATTCTTATTATATCCTATATATATCCTTAATATTTAAATGTTTTCATATGTAAAGATATTTGCCTATTGCTCTCTTGTGTGTATTAAGCAGTGTGTAAGCGAGGCGCAACTCTGCGCTGGAGTTTAGACCGGGTTAGTTTTGGTCTAATGAAAAATCTATTATAGTTTCTCAGAATAGCAACGCGCCAGCAGTGCGCCTCAGAACACCTTCCTATTTAGACCAGAACGTCTATGTGCGCACATATGAGCACTAATGCATTTGCTATTTAAACAGCGTAGCGCAACGCCTCAAAACCACTCTTGCGCCAAGCTGAAACTTCCAAAAGACTACTGCGCCACGCCTTGCGCCACACTGCACCGGGTGTATGATAGGGCCCGTTGCGTTGCGATGCCGCCAACCCGTGTTCGAATCTCACCTGGAAAATTATTGTTATTATTATTATTTTTTTCATTTTTATTGTTAAGACATATAATACTGTGAGGGCTTTTGAACATTTGAATTTCTAAAGCAGCTGTTTTCTTGAAACAGACGTGATAGTGTCATTAGAAACTGAATTGGAAATGGCCTTATTTTAATATAGTCAGTCGTGAACTGAGGTGGGCCGGTCTGGCTTGAAACTCCAGGGCTGAAAATGAGTCCCACTCCGGCCCTGCTCTAACAGATTGTGATTTTAAATTCCACAGATGTGATGGTCTAGAGCAGGGGTCACCAAACTTGTTCCTGGAGGGCCGGTGTCCTGCAGATTTTAGCTCCAACCCCAATCAAACACACCTGAACAGCTAATCAAGCTCTTACTAGGTGTACTTGAAACACCCAGGCAGGTGTGTTGAGGCAGGGTGGAGCTAAACACTGCAGGGCACCGGACCTCCAGGACTGAGATTGGTGACCCCTTATCTAAAATAAAAAGCAGCATGACCAAAATAGGTAAACTTCAGGTTTTAAATACCCATACAGACAGCTCAAATGTGAAATGGATATCAGGATGATTCCTTACCTATATTAGGATGATTTAAGACCTTCATAATCCTCACTTCACGAAAGAGCTGTGGGAGAACAGAAAGAGAAGCAAACAAGCTGCATTAGAAGAAACATTTAATACTTCATATATCCACAAGTTGTTTAAAGACACTGACTTACGGTTCAGACATTGAAACACATGATCAATTATGTCTATGGTACTTCAGTCACACTGAATGTACAATTCACGATATTACCAAACCATTAACTAAGACTTTTCATCCAACAATACAGACCGACACTTCCGTTTATCATGACCAAACCTTTCAGCAGAGCTTTTGTTCAGCTTAACGGGACACTTTTGGAGGGAAGGTGACTCTAGAGAACTCCTCCACGCTCACACAGATGTCCATCATGAAGCATACGTCATTAAAGAAGCTGTGAAATGCTCAGAAATGTGCATTTTTTTATCGGATGTGTGACCTAATCTCAACTGAAACACGAAAAGAGGGCGAGGCATATAGTAGCTCCTCCCCTTTATAAAGAAACAGCCAATAGCATTTTGTTTTGCTCTGTCAGTGGGAGTGGTTGAGCTTGAGTGCATCAAATGAACAGCCAACGAGGAGGAGGCGGGGCATGTCAGGCACTAGAGAGAATCTGATTGGTCAGAAGATTTGATGGGAAACTGACATGTGAGGTGATGTCACAACAATCCATTCAGGAGACAAACTGCGAGCTCTGGATGATTACACGATCTTTTTAAAGTGAGTGTTGTCAGCGTTTTGGAGCACACTAGCTTATACATATCCTCAAGGCTGGCATGCTGATGCTAACATCTGAAAGATCACGAGGACCTTATAAGCCTATTGATGTGAAGTGTACGATTGCTGAGAGAAGTGTGTGTTTTGATGTGTTTTCTGACGCAGTAACACACTGACGCGTCAGCGAGACAGAAGTGTGTTTTCTGGCAGTCGGCTCTGCTCAGTGATCAGCGGCAGAGCCAGAGCTGCTATATTTATAGCCATATTTCTAAAAACAGCCACAGCAACATTCCACTCTGATGACACGGATGAGCGTGTCACTTCCTGTAGAGGGTCCTACAGTCTGTGTGAGTGTGTGCATGGGCAAGCGTATATGTATGTGTGTGTCTTGGAGCGAGCGAGTGTATGAGTGCATGTATATGTGTGCATGTATATGTGTGTGTTTGTGTGTCTATATATATATGTGAAGAGTTTCGTTGCAAAATGAGATATATCCATTTTGAGAAATGTTGGTTATTTGACATTATTATTTAAGACATCAACAGTCAAGTTCATTCACAATTTTTATACATTAAACTTTTACTTGAGCTCAGTGAAGGTCAGGAACACAATATTCTTCAAATCCAGGATATTTTTTATTTAACTAAACCTGTATGATCAGAGCGGGCGGAGCGGTGATGTCACAGAGTCCGCAACACAAGCTCGCCTCGCCCTGTCATATTTAATGAATTATTTCACTGTAATAATAATAATAATAATAATGATAATAATGATAATAATAATAATAATAATGATAATAATAATAATAATAATGATAATAATAATAATAATAATAATGATAATAATGATAATAATAATGATAATAATAATAATGATAATAATAATGATAATAATAATAATAATAATAATAATAATAATGATAATAATAATAATAATAATGATAATAATAATAATAATGATAATAATAATAATAATAATGATGATAATAATAATAATAATAATGATAATAATAATGATAATAATAATAATAATAATGATAATAATAATAATAATAAGGATAATAATAATAATAATAATAATAATGATAATAATAATAATAATAATGATAATAATAATGATAATAATAATAATAATAATGATAATAATAATGATAATAATAATAATAATAATGATAATAATAATGATAATAATAATAATAATAATAGCTTATTTATTGGTTGTTGTGAAAAAGCAAAACCGTTTATTTTTCTCTATAACAACCAGTCCCACATATGTTCGCCTATAATAAATCAACAACAACAATAATTAACGTGAGAATTAACGTGAGGTTTTAGGCTGTAAATAATAGGTGCATTCGCATAAATAAATCTTCAGACAGGCTACTCAGCTACATGTAAGAAACTATTTAAAAAATGAACTCACAAAAGACACTTAGCAGTGTCGCCTTGCAGACAGATGTCTTGTGATGGGAAGGAGCGCAGGAAACAAGGTGCTCCCTGGCCTTCCTCATGACATCAGCGGAGACTCGTTCCCTGCTGCATTTGCGTATTGTTGACAGACGTATTTCATTCTGGTCCACTTTTGTAGCGTTTTTATAAATTTTTATGAAGTTGAAGGCTTCATCTTCCATCGCTAAATCAATTAGCAAACTCGGAGCACTTCACCAGCGGCGACTCTCTTCCCAGGGGAAGAACGTTCTATAACCGTTATATATCACGCTTTGTAAAGAAATTGGTCTGGCGGATATCGCGCTTTGTGAAAAAACACATTTTGTACTCGGCCTAAAATGTACATTCTAAAATGTTAATAATGGCAGCAATTCACACATAGATTAAGGTACATCCGAACAGTGATTTCCAATAATAAAATCCAAATGTCAAAAATGGCGTTTATCACGTTTTGCAACTAAACTCTTCACACACACATATATATATATATATATATATCTGTGTATATGTGTGTGTGTGTGTGTGTGTGTGTGTGTGTGTATATATATATATATATATATATATATATATATATATATATCTGTGTGTGTGTGTTTTTGCATGTATATATGTGTCTGTGTGTATATATGTCTGGGTGTGTGTGTATGCCTATAATGTATATATATATTTATACAACAGTTCTGTCTGGTTCTCGAATCTGATTGGCTGATAGCCGTGCAATATTCTGCAATATCAGCACTCGTCCGGCCTCCTCACCCTTCTGTATTACTCCGCCCACATAGAGTGACAGCAGATCAATAAACTCACTACAGTGATAAATATTGCAGCTGTCGGACAACATCATGTACTTTTAAGGTTTTTTTGGGCAAGAATGTCGTTGTTTAGATCGCAACTGTGCAGTTTATTTATAAGGATAGCACCTATTTTAAATATTTATAATTTCTGAGAGACAGCGCATCAGCGGCCGTCTGCCTGTCATACTAAGCAGAGCAAAGATGGTTTGACATTGTCTATCCACAAGATGGCGACAGAGACCGCATAATAAGCCCTTAGGGGAGGTAATTTTAAACTACAGCTGATTAAATCACTATTAAAGTAAGTGATTTTCTGAGTCGATCTCTCTCTTCTGTATTTATACCATAGTAATCTGCTAGTGTTTGCTTTGCTCTAGCCTTTTCGGGGTTAATTATTGTGATCTCCTGATTGCAGCAGAGAAACACTTGGAAAGTAATGAGAAAACAAAGAAAACAAAGCATAAAAGCAGAATATTTAATGGGTTGGATTTAGTTTTTACGATTTTGTATGTTACAAACTTTTGTGCTCAACATGTAACATTATTGATTTTAATTAGTGCACTGACCATAGGGCAAAGTAGCACCAACTTGCATCAAATACTAGGCTTATCCATCCATCCATCCATCCGTTATGATTATTTATTAATCATAAATTTGGAGAAACTGAGAATGTCCATGTGGTATCTCCTTTACTATTCCCCATAGCCGTATAAATAAGCCACTGTTTATTCCCTCACTTCATTTGTGGATGAATCCAACGCGTCACTCTGCTGCCCTTGAAGCACACTGCAGGAAGGAGAAACTCTGCGCAGGATCATTCCCAATAAAGTTGATCAATACAATCCCTTCAGGAACCATCCTTCACAGGCTGCAGGAGAAGTGAGCGGGGTAAGGTCACCTACCTGGAGCCGTTCCAACATCTGTGACCATATAATGCTTAGTTTACACTGCTGTGTTTCAGGCACGTTCCACATGTACACCAGCATTTAATAAACACTTTTCACAGCCTTTGATTAAAAACAGAATGCTCTGTTCACATCCATCCATCCATCCATCATCTATCTATCTAT